CCCCCCCCCCCCGCCTGCACTCTGGCTCATGTCAGAACAGAAACGCATCCGTCCTGACGTGCTGAAATATTCATGCGGGAGCCGCGCTGCTCCAGCCTCGCGCAGGAGCTAAAGCGGGTGTTTAAAATATCAATTTTTCCGTGTGAATCAATTGCTCCGCGCGCAGCAGAAGAGAGTCCCCCGGCGGCTCCCCTGCCCGGACACCCGCTCCCGGCCTCGCCCCGCTGCCTCGCCCCGCACGCCGCTCCCGGGCCGGGGCTCTTGCAAAGGGGGAGCGTTTCCCCGCCGCTCCTGCCCCCCCCCCGCTCTTCCCGCTTAGGGGGTGACAACTGTTCAACGCAGCCGGTGTCGTGATACATTGCCTCGCGCTCCTCCAGCAGGAGAGGGCTCTGGAGACTGGACATCCGGATTTCAGGGCAACGCACGGCGCTCTGCACCGGAGCGGAGCCCGGGACCTGGAGGGGCGACTTCAGAACAAAACGGCAGCTATCTGCGCCGGGAGAAGGTGGGGGACAGAGCACCATTTCACTCCGGGTCTCAGCCAGCTGGGTGTTTGTTTCCTGAAACACCATTTATCTCAGGAGCTCAGAGATCTGGGTGCTTGATTCCTTGAACACCATTTACCTCCTGATCTCAGAGATCTGGGTGCTTGATTCCTGAAACACCATTTACCTCCTGATCTCAGAGATCTGGGTGCTTGATTCCCTGAATACCATTTACCTCCGGATCTCAGATGCCTGGGTGTTTTGGTCCCTTTAACACAAGAAAGAACCAAAAGGCCCAGTGAAGAAGCACCGGTCTCTGATTTCAAGATAGTTGCTTGCAGTGCTGCTAGTGATTTATTGGGGCTTTCTACAGCTTTCTTCCACCCTTAATGCAGCATCCTAGCATTCCTTTCAATTGCTGGAAAGCGAATGCTAAGGCTGAGAAATGTTCATTTTGTAATGCAACACGCCACCACTCGTTTATTTAACCTCTGAAACAGACAATTTATTGGAGTGAACATACCTGTTAACATATCTCATTTGTCAAGTTAAGTTTTGTGCAATAGTGTAAACTCGGTAGAAGTGCTTGTTTGTGAATTAGATGCTAAAGATGAAATCAGAAGGAAAAAAGTCTGAGAAGTCTTCATAACTAATGTTGGCATGCCTTAAATTAAATCTCTGAATTAAAATTTCTCGTTTGTAAACTTTTGGATGTAAACTTTTAGGTAGGTCTACACTAGGGTACGTGCTTTTTAGTCATGGAGTTAAATCATTTTCACGACACTGATCCCTTCCAGTCGCAGCCAAGAGAAATTCTTCAAACCAGCAATGGAGAAAGTCTGTCCGTTTAACTAAGCAAACTGAACATTAAATCCTTGTTATTGTCGTTGTTGCTCTGCTATTTTAAAAAAGTTTTAGATTTGAAATTTAAACTCTTCCAAGTCTCTTTCTCGGTGTGTCCGACTCTTCACGCAGCTAGACAGTCCTCTGCCACGTGGTGGGCTGTTAGGAACAAAACATTTTGCTCCCTGATTTGGGAAAGGCAAGGAAGTCCTTGCTGGAGTCCTGGTGCGACAAGGTTGCCAGCTGCCCTTTGAGCACGCTGGCACTGTTCCCGACTGAGCGTCCCAGGGACCCCGTTTCCAGAATGGCCCCTTTGGTGGTGGCCCAGGAAACTGTGGTGTTGCTCAGGGCTTGGTTCAAAGTACTGTGTCTGAATATGGGGTCGTGAAACACCCCGTCCACCCAGTTCCTGAGGTTGGTGACTGGGGAATCCTGGTGCCTGTCAATGACCCCCACAGGGGCAGACACCGCGGCGGAGGAGGGCACGGCCTGGCGCTTCAGCATGCAGGAAGGGTACTCAGTTTGGTTCAGGGAGGTGGCGGTGTGAGCCAGGGACCAGATCCGGGGCTTGGTCTCCAGGATCTGCTGCCCCTGCTGGAAGCACATTTTGGACTCGCAGCCCCTCTGCCTGGCGTGGATCAGGTCTTGCTCGCATTCGTCCACCACGCTCTTGAGACAGTTTTTAGCTCGCTCCAGGTCTTCCTCCATGGCGCCGGCCGGGATGGGCATCTTGAGGGGGGGCTCCTTGCAGTGCTCGGCGGCGCACGTGTCGGCGGCCCGCATCTGGCCGCTCTCCAGGGCCGGGAAGGGCGGCTTCATCTCGCACTCCGAGCTCTCCGACTCCATGGGGTCGAAGTCGTCCAGGTCGCTCAGCTCCAGCTCCTTGTCCTCTTTGCTCGCGGGCTCTGCGGGAGGGGGCGGGGGAGACAGCAGGACAGACAATGAATGGCCACACGCTGCTTGCCTACAGGGACCCCAGCCTGGGAGACCCGGAGAGCTGCACCCGCAGACCTACAGCCTGGCAGCCTGCACCAACCCCTGTGCCAACAGCCTGGGGGGCGACCCCTGTACCAGCAGCCGCCTGCTATTCCCAGCACGTCCTAATGCACCATACGACCCAGAAACACTAGGGATAACGTGCCCATCTTGCCGGGGTCATCTGATCCCAGCGGGCCTTCCTGCCCAAGTGCAGCGGGGGCTGGACCCGATGATCTGTACGGCCCCCTAACAGCTATGAGAGTCAGGGCTTAACAGGAGCCACCACCCTAGCATTGATGGTTAAGGTACATGGCTAATAAGGTACCCTCGTTTTTCTCGCTCTTCATGTTGTCTTCCTGCGACTCTTCCTCCTCTTCTTCCTCGTAGGGTCTCTTCTCCTCGGAGCATTTGTTCCGGGGGGGCCAGGTCATCTTGTTCTCCTTCTTGAGCCGGCGCCGGGCGTTGGCGAACCAGGTGGAGACCTGCGTGAGGGTCATCTTGGTGATGATGGCCAGCATGATCTTCTCGCCCTTGGTGGGGTAGGGGTTCTTGCGGTGCTCCTGCAGCCAGGCCTTGAGCGTGCTGGTGGTCTCCCGCGTGGCGTTCTTCCTGCGTGTGCCGCCGTCCATCGTGCCGTACCTGCAGCTCGCGAGACACAAAGGACATCACGGGTGGGCCCGCACAGAGCTGCCGCGGGGTGGGCTTGATCCCTCGGGAGCCCAAGGGGAAGAAGACCCCGGCGCGCCGGGGGCACATGAGGTGCACTTTATTTTTTCCAGCGACATGCAAAGGGCGGGGAGCAGGATTTGGGGGATAAGGACTCAGAGATGGCAACGGATAACACAGCCCTGAGCAATGATTCAGCCTGGAAGCCCGGTTCAGAGAAGGAAGGCATGAGCGCACACGCCCGCGTGTTAAGAGGGAAAAAATGCGCTTGCATTCAATTGAGCAACAACCTTTTGGTGGCGTAAATGGGAAAGAAAAATGTCTGTAAAGTCTCCCTTCAGATCCCGGGTGGGAGAAAACCTCAGCTGCATTAGGCACCCGGCGCCCACACAGGCGCCCACTCAAGTTCTGGTCCTGAGCGCTTTGATCACGCTTTCCCGGGTACAACACGTTCAGGTGACCTCAGGGGGTAGCTGTTAATAGAAATATACATTTCCTCTTACTCCTTCTATTAGTAATCTCTCCCTACCCTTTTGTTCCTGAAATTGTAAAAACGCCACGCAGATGACACCGGCCTGCGCCTGAATATTTAATGCGCATCATCTGGGAAAGGTCAGCGGAGCCCAGTGGGCTTGAAAGGTTGCGATGGTTTAAGTGGTTTGATTCTGTTTTAAACCTAATAAACACGCCAAAGATAAAGGGGCCTTTCGGTTTGACGCCAGGCAGGGGAAGCGAATGAATGCAAACTCGGGGGAGTGGGAAGCCACCTCCTGGAAAGAAAGGTCGGGGACAGCGGGTTGTACGGACAGACAAGCGCGGTTATGGGAAGCAAGCAAGGAAGGAACAGAACGTTGGAGAAGAGAATAGAACGTTGAAGAAGGAGAACAGAACGTTGCGGAACAGACCACGTGGAAGCTGATCAGTCTGATCCGTCCAGGATCAAGCAGGGAGTTTGCAGTCTCAGGCCGAGGCTGCATGGAAGCAGGGAGCATTCAAAGGCTCCAAAGGGCCCGGCAGAGCTGGGGGCACTCCTGAGCCGGATCCGGGGTTGCTGAAGGGCGGAGTCATATCGGGCCAGACGCCGGGTGCAGGGAACACCCACGCCCCGGGGGCAGGGGGCAAGGGAGTGACCCAACCCCCGCCCCTAGCACCCTGCTTCCTTCACTTCTCCGGTGGGCACATTCAGACTGACCCGGGGTGGGGGGAGGCAGGATGCAGCCAGGCCACTGGAGACAGGCAGGCTGCGTGTCCGCCCCCCCCCCTTTAACCCTTTCCTGCCCGGTGCCAGCTGTCTCCAGTCGGGGTGAGGATGGGGAAGCAAGGAAGGGAAGGGGTGGGTGGGTCCAAGCTCGGCTTTGCCCCTTACCTGTCGTACTGGTACTGACTGAGCGTGTGATCGTAGGGGTAGTAGGCAGCGGCCTGTGTGATGCCCGCATGCGCAGAGCCAGCCCCGTCCTTGGCGTCGAAACTATTCTGTAAGGGAAGAGCAAGCGTGTCTGTCCTCGAAGCGACCCGGGGGGGCGGGTGGCAGCGAGCCGGGCCGTACCTAGGCTTAGGGGCAAGGCATCTTTTGCAAGGCTGCGGCTGGGGGAGGTTTGGTCCCTGCCTCCCCGGCCTCCACTCTTTGCAGCCGCGTCACCCCCGGGACCTAACTGCCTTGCCCAGGCCCGAGACAATCCCGAGCTAGAAGGGGCTCTGCAACTTTTAATGACGGCTGTCAGGGTGCACGGAGGGGGCTGGCAGCCGAGCCACGAGGCTTCACCCAGGACCAGGACCAGCTCGGGCTGCGGCGGAGGGAGCGGGTCGGTTGCCCCGTGGCTGGCGAGTGCCAGCCGATGGGCACATGGCCTCGCCCCACGGCGATGCCAGAGGGCAAAGCGTCTCGGAAGGTGCCTGGATCCGGCTGAACCTTGCGCGACTTTGAACTCCCTGGCGAGCTACACACCCCCTGCTTTCTACAAGTCTCCAGCAGACCCACCGAGCGGGCATTTCATTGCATTGCCCTGTCACAGATCTTTTCATTTATGAAATATTCACAGAGCTCAGGAAGCAAACAAGGGAGCAAAACAAACCCCGCCACGTTGATGCCGCCCGAGTGAAAACACAGGCTGCAGCTCCAACAACAACATAAGGAAGAGCACGCATCTAGGCACTTAAAGTGCTCTCTGCCTTGCAAACGTGACTGCTTTCTTAGTACAGCCGAAGTGTTGCAGGACATGGATGTTATTGGGGGGGGGGGGGGGCCTCCGACTCAGAAGAAAGGGCGGGCGGCACCTTCCCTCCGGGGGGGACTCCCCCCC